CTGTGTGTGTATGTGTGTGTGTTTCTGTGTGTGTGTTTCTGTGTGTGTTTCTGTGTGTGTGTGTTTCTGTGTGTGTGTTTCTGTGTGTGTGTTTCTGTGTGTGTGTATGTGTGTGTGTGTTTCTGTGTGTGTGTTTCTGTTTGTGTGTATGTGTGTGTGTGTTTCTGTGTGTGTTTCTGTGTGTGTTTCTGTGTGTGTTTCTGTGTGTGTGTGTTTCTGTGTTGTATGTATGTTTGTGTGTGAATGAGAGAGACAGACAGAGAATAGGTAAGTGTTTGTGCGTGTGTGTGTATGTCTTGCACTGATGTGATGGGATATTTATATATTCATGTGCATGTATATATAATTTATATTAATATTCTATATGTAATGTGAGCAGTTTGACCTCAAAATACGACATACCCATTTTTGTGGTTTTGAGAAAAATGAAGATTTCTGTTCTTCGCCCATTTGCCAAACTGTCTTGAGTAGCTTTGTTTTCAGAATACTTGTATATGATGCGAGGCCTAGCTGATAACTGTTGTTTCAGGAAATCCATGTTAGGATTTTTATCGTTTAAAGGGATGAGATCTCCCCACATTCTGGACACAACCGGACATATCCACGTTACAATAAGGAAGGAACAAAATCGGCAACTAGCTTTTGTCGACCACAAGCGAAGTCACATGACTGGAGTAAAGAACTTGATTGGTGTGCATGATATAAAAGTCGCGGTTTGTCAAACAGGTTTACCGCTTTTGTCGCGTAAAAGTGGAATTTTCTGCAGTAAAAAAAAAAAGAAAGAAAAATGGTGTTTCTAGTGAGAAAAAAAAAGAAACTGACCCTGGAAGGCGCCTCACTCTCTAGAAACGACGGTACTAGTTTTGGTCAAACGTAAGAAATGGAGTTTGTCGTGTTTGTGATCCGAGTGTTCCTGTGTTTATCTCATCTTGTGACAGCTGGAGCAAACACTGGTCATTTTGTGCCTGTGGAGGAAAATGTCAGTTAGAAGTACAGGTTGGCTTTTCCTATCATTCCTGGAGGCCTGGAGGCCTGGAGGCTTTTCTAAGGACTTGTGTGTGTGTGTGTATATATA